TTTTTGTTCAAGCAACCAATGTGAAGAATTTTGCATTTAGAGATGTTTAGCCTCATATGTCATGTTCATGTCCACTCTGTGATAGCGTCAATATCATTTTGGAGCACAGTACAATCATTCTGCTCTTCATTAAGTCGAATTGGGACAAGCAGTTTAGTATCATCAGCAAATATTTTACAGATTGAACTAATTATATTTGGCAAGAGGGGTCATTGGCGATGGTGCTGCCGTATAAATACTGTAGGCAAAATTAATTGGTGCACTATTGGTGCTTATAGTTGTTGGAGAGGTTACTGTTAATAATGATGCTGTAGTAGTACCATTGGCAGAACTGATAGGCCTAGTTGTTGGTGAAGATATTGTCGATGTGTGGTTGTTTGACTGGAGTTCATTACATGTGATCACATTGTATATGGATTGCTATAGTCCGATTGATCTAATTTTGTCTTGATTACGGTCATCCTTATGTAGTATCATCTTTATTTCACCATCTCTGATGGCATAGTATTTACGTTTGTCATTTTTGAGCTTGTAATGTAGAGTAACACCATTTTTTACTTCCTCATGTCGTGGTTCTTTATTCTTATCCTTGCATATTTTGCGAAGATTATTTTCATTTGCTCTTTCGATTGTCGCTTTATCTCTGTTGATATAAAGATTACTATAGTTAATAGAGTTTTTGAGTTTCCAACCTTTTCTGAGAAATTCTTGCGCAGCTTCTTGGTCCGCTAGTTCAACAACAACTAACGGTGGTTTCGCTGTTTCAAACTTTTCTGTCTGGTTAACTATGTTAGTAGTTTTGTTGTTAGGTTTTCTTTTTTTCAGTCGTCTTGTTTGTCTTATTTTGCTAATTGGAGCACCAATTTCTTCTGTTATTTTTTTTAGATGAATTAGATCTTCATTGTCACTCCCGTTTACATCTGTTGTTGCTGGCAACTGTAATCCACTAATTATAATGTTATTGGCATTTTTCTCTTTTTTCTTCTGTTCCTGGGCAAAAACAGAGCAAATGGTTACTATGGTATCATTGTTTTTGCTTTTACCTGATAATATCTCGCTGAAAGATTTTTTTGGTGGATATAATTTTTCATTCAAGTTCCTCAACTTTATTTTTCAGGGTTTTGTTTTCATCGTTTAGGAGTTTGAATGATCTGGCAAACAACTTAAACCATTCATGATGTTTCTTGGACGTGCCTGAATGGTGCCCTGACCCAACCTAATTGCATGATTGCATCAAGTGATGTTGAATCCATGTGTTTCTTTGGTTAAAGTTTAAAGGAGGGATACCACCCTGAATAACAGTGGATTACCTCCTTTTTATTTTTTTTATACTATTAATCTAAAAAATTATTACACAGGGACTAAAAAGTTTCAGTATGTTTTTTCCGTGTTATATATATGTATATATATAATATATATATAATGTTATATATATAATATATATATAATGTTATATATATATATATATAATGTTATATATATATATATATATATATATATATATATATATATATATATATATATATATATATATATATATATATATATATATATATATATATATATATATATATATATATATATATATATATATATGTATATATATATATATATATATATATATATATATATATATATATATATATATATATATATATATATATATATATATATATATATATATATATATATATATATATATATATATATACTAGGGTGGTTCTAAAAACAATTTTTTTTGAAAATGAATGCTAGCACAACCTGAATATGCTGTATATAACAAAAAAATGCTGAACTTAAAAATTTTTTTAGTAAAATATATTTTAAAGGGTTGCTACTGATCTTGGAACATTAAATAGGTCCCTAATATTATAAAAAAAAAAAGTTTTTCAAAAGTATGTCATGTTGGGTCTCAAACGAAGCGAAATTATATAAAAACTTCAAAAATATTAATCATTTTATAATTAATTTTTTATTTTAGATTTTAGTGAATAGAAAATTACATTTTTTTAATAAAAACGATTAATAGAGAAATTAACAAGATTTTTTTATTATAATTTTTTTTTATCAATGTTTTTTTATAAAATGAATATTTTTTTAAATAATGTTAGGTACCTATTTAATGTTTGAAGGTCGGTAGCAACCCCATAAAATAATTTTTATTCAAATATTTTTTTAATCCAGAATTTTTTTATTATATACAACATATTCAGAGGGTGCCAGCAGTCATTTATAAAAAAATTTGTTTTAAGAACCAGCCTAATATATATGTATATATATATATATATATATATATATATATATATATATATATATATATATATATACAATTTTTTTTATTCAAAAATTTTTTAGTTTAGTATAAATTTATTACATAGAACAGATTTAGGGGGTGGCAGCAGACAATTTCAATAAAAGTTGTTTTTAAAGGCACCTAATATATATACATATATATATATATATATATATATATATATATATATATATATATATATATATATATATATATATATATATATATATATATATTCACCAAATAAGTCCCAATCTAGTGATTGTCCTGGGCCAGCAGGTGCAGTTAGGAGAAATAAGGAACGACTAATCAAACAACTCACAAATAACTGTCGTCAAAGAGAATACTTTTTCTTAAATAGAGTGGTTAATGTTCGGAACACAATTCCGAATGCAGTTAAAAACACCAAAACTACAAACTCATTTAAAAACAGTTACAATGTCTATGTGAAAACAATATGAAATTTTGTATATAGTTCAGATGTCATAGTTGACCATATTTTTTTTTTTTTCAATTATTCACCTCCCCAAGGCCCAAGGGGGCCACTAAAGTCAAGGAGGCTACTCATTTTTTTTTTGTTTTTTTTTGTTATTATTTCTTTTATTTTTTTTTTGTTGTAAATCGTGGTACAACCCTCTCTCAACTCTTTAACTCCAAAACACGAACCTTGACAAGCAAGACCGCTGTGCGGAGAAATTAAGTTGAGCGAGGTACTTCCAGGGACGTGGTGGGAGTCAAACTCCGAACCTCTCGCTTACAAAGCGAGCGCTCTAACCACTACACCACTACCGCATTTATTTGGTCAGCTCCGCTTTATGCTACAGCTCAATCTTATTAATATATATATATATATATATATATATATATATATATATATATATATATATATATATATATATATATATATATATATATATATATATCTTATACTGCTCATCTAAATCAGCAGTATAAGATATATATATATATATATATATATATATATATATATATATATACTGCCGCCCTAAGTAAAAACGCAGTAAACAACAAAAATGACATTCTGAGAAAAAGCCACTTTTAAATTTTGTGTGTATATATTTTTTTAACTTACGGCAAAATGAACTATGGGTTTGATGACTTCGGAATATACCACAATATTTTTATATAGAGCGTTATTACACAGAAAACGATGTTAAAACGTTTGGTGCAATAATCTCGATTTTTCAATTTTTGCGATTACTGCGTTTTTTCTTAGGACGGCAGTATATATATATATATATATATATATATATATATATATATATATATATATATATATATATATATATATATATATATATATATATATATATATTAGTAGATATATATATATATTAGCAGATATATATATCTGCTGATAAGAAATGCATATAACTTAATATCATTAAAACTTATTTAAACTTAATTTTAAAAGGTTTTTAAAAAACTTTTAATGGCTGGTTTAAGCATTTGCTTAAAAAAGTACTTTGGATTAAATTCCTACCTAAAATATAATTAAAAACGATATCAACTAAAAACATATCAGAAAGTACAATTTAATGCAATGCATTTAATATGAAATGATGATAAAGTTGTCATCTGGTGAGAACACAACAGTAAAATTTGTTTATTTCTCAATTTAAATAAAAAATACTCTTAACAAGATGTTAAGTTGGATAAAGTGACAATAGAGCACAATAATCATAGACAGAAGAGTCTGTGTTCAGCTTGTGTTCACATGTTATGTTCATTAAAGTAGTGAAAAAAAATTCCTCATTGATTCCTATAACACAAAGTTACCTTTTGAAATGTACTAGAAAAATGTCACAAATACCAAAAATTGACTGCTTGATTTTAAAATATATTTATATACCAACATATTTTTAACATTTCTAAAATTTTAAATAAACAGTACTTAATATGCCAGCTGAATTATTTTCAATAAAAAATAATTTAGCTAGCCTACATTTTATAATAAACTCACTAAATGTAACATTTAAAACTTGATCAAAGGACCGAGTCCTTGACTTAGACAGCAAGAAGCAAGTCCTTGACTTGGTCTTTGCTGTTGAAGTCAAAGATTTAAACCAAATAGATCCCTGGACAGGCTAATGATAGACACAGCAAAAGACCAAGAAAATAAAATGATACACCAAGTAAATAAAACTATAACTAATTAAATAAATTAAAAAAGTGTAATGACTAATCAAAGAAAATTTGAACTTGTGAATTAGCTTATGGAGTAAAATAGCTAAACTTAAATTTGACTAAATTAGTAAATGGATATAAATTTAAATATGGTAAAAAAATATTTATGACAAAATAAATTATATATAAACTAAATAGGCCTAGACAACTAATAATAGATTTTTGCAATGAGCAAAATAACCATTCAACTAAAAAAAAAACATTTGATTCTATCATTCTAAGAACTTTTGTAAAGACCTTTTAGTAAAACACTTTTTTTGGTTATATTGAATTAAGTCTCAAGAGAATTTATAGGAATTTTGAGATTTGATTTGGGAATTGATTTTATAGAAATTTTGTAAAAGAAGATTTAATTATTAATTTCTATAAAAAAAAAAATTGATTCTGACAAAAAAAGATTGCGTGCATGCTTTAACAAAATTACTTTTTTGTTTTTTAATTTGATAATAATAATAACTAAATATATAATATTTTATTTATTTATTGTTTAAAAACAAACCTTGTATCCCCATTTATTTTTTTTCCCACTCAAGTAGCATTGGAAAACATGATAAACATCCTCAATACAATCCAATTTCTCCCCCCACATCTTTAATCTTTCCTCCTCACTCTCTTTGCTTTTTAAATAAAATAAATGGTGATCAGAAAGCTCTGCAAATGATGGAGCAGAAGAATTGCCCCATCTTCCATTAGGAAATTCATCCCAATTTGATGTTCTATGAATATAACTTTTTGGACGCGAGGACCAGAATATTGGACGAACATCTTCTTGTAACCGCTTTAAATTTGCTGATGGTTTCCATGGCAACAGCCTGTGACTTTGGTAAGGTCTCCATAGTCCCAGCTGTTGTAAAAGTTCTGTAGTAGCAACTTCTCTATTTAAAGTATAGACATGAATTCCAGGTACATCATCAGAACTTAAAAGCTCACGACACATACTTACTGCTAACTTAACACCATATTCTCGAATGGCCTCATCATCATTTTTAATTGGTTCTAAATCATCAATTATATATTGCGGTACTTCAAGCTTTGAAAGTTTTACTAACTGAAGCAACGATGCATAGGCCTATGATAAAAAAAAATTTTATAATTTATTAATTAAATTAAATAAATGCACAACCTTATGCAACAACCTTATGTTTTAATTTAAAATTCAGATCAAGACACTAACTATTTAATAAATAACTGTTACTTGTATAATTATATATATTAATTATATTTAATAAATAACTGTTACTTGTATAATTATATATATTAATTATATTTAATAAATAATTGTTATTACTTGTATAATTATATATATTAATTATATTATAATAAATAACTATTGTTACTTACTTGTATGGGCATTACGCCAGGTATAATAGGAACATCAATACCTATTCTTCTACAATCAGCTAAGAACTTGAAAAATATGTTTGGTTCAAAAAACAATTGTGTTATAATAAAGTCTGCACCTGCATCCACTTTTTCCTTTAAATGAATAAGATCATCTTCATATGAAGTACAATCAGGATGACCCTGTGGATAACCTTAAAAATATTTAAATGTAAAAAACTTATTCCAATTTTGTTAACAATAGTTATTGGTTATTTATTTTTTATAATTTTTTAACTATTATTATTTTAAAATTAAATATCAGCATATCATGATCTTTGTTGATATCATGACCATTTATAATGCAATGACTATTTCATCATGTCATGTCAGAGTTTCATAACTTCATCACTAATCAAGACTTCAATATGTCTAGACTATTGTCATTAAATGTTTTAAAAAATACAAGTTGTAAATAGACTAAGGTTTGGAGCAAAGCATTAGCAAAGATATTTTTTTTATCATTAGCACAAACAGTAAAATATAATATAAATAGTATAAAAATGCTCACCTGCAACACAAATAGTAAAATAATTCTGAAAATGCTTTCTAATAAATTTAACCATGTCGGCTCCAAATCTCAAATTTTCATCTGAAGCCATCCATACTTCTCCCTTAGGTGGATCTATAAAAATCATTTTTATAAAAAAATATTGTTCTTTATTTAGTGTTACAAACAATTTATTTTGATAACGAGTCCTTTTAAATTTAAAAACAATGAATTTGTTTTAAAAGTTTAATAAGTTTTTTAAAGATTTTATATTTATTCTTATGATTAAAATTTCTTTTTTATTTTAAATTTTATTATTTAAAAAACAATTTTACAAAACAAATCACCTCCACGTAGGGCAAGAATATTGCGTATACCAAGATTTTTTGCTTTTTTAAGGTTTTTTAGAACTAAATCGCATGATATGTTTGCACATGTCATATGCAGCATAGTTTCGATACCACAATAATTTGAAGCAGTACTTGCAATAGTGCAAGAACTTGTTTCCTTATCACCAGATGGATCTCCTATAAAATTTTAAAAAAAGGTTAATTTGTTTGTCCAAAAACTATTTTTACCATTATTATATAAAAAAAAAAAAACCCACAATTTTCAAAACAAATGAGATCTTAATCCTAAAAAAGAACAGGATTAGAACAGAATTAGAACAGAAGATCAGGATAACACGAGATACCACTTGAGACATTTATAACGTTACTAATCTTACAATAAGTAAACTTTTTTGTTCAGTTTTATTAATAATAATAAACAATTTTGCACACAATTTTCCAAGTGTTTATATGAACTTTATATAAAAATATATTAGGGTGTAGTGAAATAAATTTTTTTTTTTTTTTAAATATTAAAAATTTAAATATTGCATTCTGATGTCCAAGGAGATTTCAAGATATACTGTAAAAATATTTTTACCATTACTTCAAAATAAATTACCAAAAATAAATAAAATTAAATAATAAAATATAATTACCATTTTTAGTCAGAAATAAATTAAAATTTTACAATGAATATTGTGTAAAAAACAAAATACAGATTTGAAGAGTGACGCATAAAAAAAATAAACATTATTTTTTACCCCTAAAAACATTTTTTTATGCAAGTAAACATTTAATTTAACTGTACATAGTTAAATTAATCATAAAATTAACATCTATAAAATAAATTAATCATAAAATTAACATCTATAAAATAAATTAATCATAAAATCTATAAAATAAAATATTATGTATAATAAAACAAAAAAAGTAAATATATTTTGTAAAGTAATACAAAATCTTTTACACTGATTTTTTAAGACTGTAAAGTTATCTGTTGTTAAACATGGTTTATTTTTAAAATTATTTTAGGTGTCTTATTGATTTTTATGCAGAAATTTTAAAGGCATATTTTACTTTATAAATAAATTCAGGGATAACAAAAAAAAAATATCCAAGGATAACCATATTAACAATGTTCTTTTTGTTTATATAAATTTGCAGGTTAAATAAAATATTGAAATAAATGATGCTTGAAAAAAATTTATTTCAACAATCAAAATAAATGACTAAGCCTAAGACTAAAGGTTTAACAGAGTATTAGAGTATATCAGAGTATCTTAAGATTTCTTCTAACAGAGTATTAACTTTCATAGTTCCAGTAAATGATTTAAGAAATCCAAAACATTTAATGTATTTTTTGAGTTTCTTAAGATTTCTTCTAGATTATAAAAAATTATGGATAAAATAAAAAGGACACAAAGTAATTAATATTTTTACAGGCAGCAAAAAAATTAAAGATTTCATTATTCTTAATGCTAATTTTCTACCTTCTTGTTACCTTCAGAATTCCCAACCCTCAGAAACATTTTGTAATTATTTCAGTTAGAAATGTAGACCTTATACACCAAATTTAAATGAAACTTACCTAATACATTGTAGAGATAAAAAAAGAACATAATTGATTAATAAAAAATACAAAAGAAAAGAAAACACAGTTGAGTGCTAATCAAAAGTTAGAATTTAAAATTTTTTACGAGGAACAAGATAAGAAAGTAGAGCTAAGTATTAACCAGTTTTTAAATGGAGAAATGGATGCAGATGTTATTTAAAAAATAAACAAATCTCCTAACCAGTTTATCAATGTCAAAATTGATGATAAAATTATAGAATCTGTCATTAATACAAAATCACTTTTCGCCTCTTGCTCAAACAGTTTTGAGATATGGAACAAATAACAGAGACGCAGTTCTTGTAGATCTTGGAATTATTAATGAAAAAGACAACAAACCTATAGCAGATTAGTGTAAAAAATTTGATTTAGATTTTCAGTGTATTATAGCTACTAACACCAATAGGTTAGGTGGGGCTATAAGAAGAACAGAGAATCTTCTTAAAAAGTTAAAATGGATACAAATGACCTTCCTGGCATCATAATGGCATCTTATTCAAGATCTTGATGATCAACAACAACTTCCATTCATGGATCAAGCTGAGCTTTGGAGTTAGGTGTTATAATAATAATGATTGTGCTATTTGTTTTGTTTTTGTATTGTTACATATTAGTTACATTGTATTTATTGTTACATATTAGCTACTTTCAGCTGCTCAAGTTTTTCCAATAATAACCATTGTTAAAAGACCAATTGAATTAAGTAACAATGTGATAGATGATTTTTTAATAGATCAGCTTTAGCTATAAAATTATTTTATTAAATTACTTATATATGTATTATATAATTACATATATAAATTACTTATAGATCTTATAAAGATCTATAAGTAATTTACCTGAATGAGTATAGTCCTGTTAATCACAGCAGATGGCTATCCACTACAAATTGACTGCCACAAATTTGGGTCTTAGTTCATAGATAGTTTAGGCAAAATATTAATAATTTAAGTTGACTGTCACGAATTTGGGTCTTAGTTCACAGATAGTTTAGGCAAAATATTAATAATTTAAGTTGCATAGTTAAGTATGTTGTTGGCATTTACTATCTAATGTGGTTTGATATTAAGGTGAAGTATTCCTTTCTAGAAGGTTCGAGACATGTTTTAAAAACCTTAAGGTTAGTAAAAATGCAGAACCATGTTGCCAGGGGTATTGTTGAAAATATATCATATTATGAGCCTGGTTTTCTCACAGTGAAGCTGTTCAAGCAACCTTGCTTGGCAGTTCTATGGTGGAAAAACGGTTTTTTCTAGTAGATACCCTGCTTGGGTGTATTGTTCACAAAAGACCTTAAATGGAAGGAACATATTATATATTTCTATACTTCTACTCTATGGACTATATGTCTTTTACCATTGCTGGTGAATAGAAGTGTTTTTAATATAATATACAAGTAGTATAATAAATTATTGTAAATACAAAATAAAAAATTGTTAAAAAATTTAAATGTCTAGTCTTTCTTTTATTCCACATTTTTCGCCTACATAAAAGTCAATATAGTTATTCAAGTCTGCTTATATTGACAATAAACTTGATGTTGTTGATAGTTGTATGTGCTATAATTGAATTGATGTTGTTCAGTAAATATAGATCACTAAATTCTTTTGGTATTAATAAATTGGTAATAAATTCTATGGTATTGCAATATTTTTTGATTATTAATTTCAATTGTTATTGATTTTATTGATTGCTGAAAAAGACTTAAGTGGTTGTTCATTGTGTTTGTTGAACAGTTTGAAGTTTAAAAAGTTTTTATTTTGAATGTTGTATTTGATGTTATTAAGGTTTATAAAATCAAATTGTTTGAATAAGTTATCGGTTTCTTGTAATAAATCATTTTATTGCAAAGCATTAGTGCTCTGCATAATAATTGATGATGAAAACTTTGTAGGTTGTATGCTTTAAGTTGTTGATTGATTTGAAATATATCTTTGTTTTGAATATTAATTTTGAGTACTAAAAATAAAATTATATAGTATGTATTGCTAAGGCTTTGTAATTTTTTTTTTCGTGTAGTAAATTATAAGACTTAAGCAGTAATCAAAGTAGGAAAAATGAATGTTTTAAAGAATTATAAACAAACTTTGAAGGCTAGACTAAATATATTAGTTATTGAGAATAATTTTTTGTAACTTTTGTTTTTCTCTCTTTTATGTGTTCGGTAAAATGTAATTTACTTTTTATGATGACTTGGTGTAATTATAAGAAAATTTGTTAACTATTTCAATTTTGAACATATCACTTAATATGATTTATGTTGGCAATATTATTTTAGATGTATGCTTGTTAAAATCATTGGTTTAGTTTTATCCCAATTAATATCGAGTTGATAAGCATAGCACCACTCAATAAAATTATTAAATGCTAAGTGAGTTTTTGTTATTAGATGGTTTATATTGGTACCACTTCTCATAAGTGTTGCATCATCTGCAAATAATGATGATTCAAATAATGTTAAATATTCAGGTAGATCATTGATGAAAATCAAAAAAAAAAGAGGTCTTAAAATGGAACCCTGTGGTATACCAATATTAACTTGTTCCTCGTTAGAATATGCATCTTTAACTTTTGTAAACATTTTTCAATTATGAAAATAATTGCTTATTAATTTCAAAGCATCAGTTGAAAACCATAATGTTTTAGCTTCAAAATCAGTAGTTTAGAATCTACTAAGTTAAAAGCTTTCTGGAATTGATAAATATTAATAATGCAAATAGGTTTTTTGAGTTGCTTAGCTTTATTTTAGAGATAAGAATATGTAACACAGTTTCACATGAATGATTGCATATGAAATTGTGATAGTAATTATTGAATAAATCATTTTGTTAAAAGTATGCAGTTACCCTTATAGCAATTATTCATTCAAACACTTTTGTTAGTAGAGATACTATGAAAATAAAAAAAATTTTGTTAGTAGAGATACTATGAAAATACTTTTTGTTAATAGAGTCATAAATTTCACCTTTTTATTTATAAAGTGGCATAATACTACCAATTTTTAATTTATTCGGAATACTACCTGTTTCTAGATATTTGTTGAATATAGTTGTTAATGGATCAGTGATTGAATGATGATTTTTAAATAATTTTTGTTGGAATATCTGAATAACCAGTTGTTTTTTTCTTTTAAGTTTTTAATCACATCAATGATTTCATATTTATTAATAGGAAGAAATAAGAAATTTAATTTTTTTTTAAATCTTTTATTTTGTTTTCATGATGATGATTTTGAGATGTTTTAAGATTATTGAAAAGATTGGAAATCTTAAAAATTTTAAATATTAAAATTTTTCAGTTCCCTTTTTTTTTAAATAATTTGTTAATTTTTTGTTTCTTAATTTAATAAAATCTCTTCTTGTTTTTTTTTTTAACATTTGAAAAATTGATAAATCATTTATTTTTACGTAATCAAAATGATAATCATTGGGCAATTTTTTCAGATTTTTAAACTCTTAATCGAATGAAATGGCATTCATTCCATTACACAAAAAAGTTCACAAAAAATTAATAATGTGGATTATTTATAATGTTGAGTTTGAAGTTGTTCCACGTGTTGGTTGAGTTGTCATTTATTTTGAAC